TGTTGCTTTCCCTATATTATTTAGTTTAGTGGATGCAGATTCTAGAAAGTAATTTTTATCACTCTAATGATTGAAGTAAAAGATGCAATGGTTAGAGCTCTAAAATGTGACAAATAGAGAACTTAAAGACAGTGAAAATGAAATCAAGCAGTATTACTATTACCCTTCTAAAAAAATCACGCACTTTCAACAAAATGATTCTTTTATTGTCTAACAAAAAGTGAAGAGACAAGTAGCATTAAATTCAGCTTGCAATTTATGAGAAAAGAGGGTAACTTGAACATTATGATAAAATTCGAGGAAGCTACGCAACAATGTACACGAATTTTGCACGGGACAACATCAATTCTTTGGGCTTAATTACATTGTCAAAACTCAATATTTCGGTGTGATAGTTATGCCACACACCATTATTTTATTTTATTTTTTCCCATGAGCGGGACCACAAGTGTATTTAGGAAGAAATTTCAAGAATTTATCTTATTTTGAATAAAATAAATTTATTAATACAAAAAATTATAGTTTATTTTCATAAGTTAATTTAAGTAGTTTATAAGTTTAACCTTTTTTCTTTGATTTTTTTTTAATCTTTGGTAATTTACTTGAAATATTTTTTTATTTTTTATTTGAAAATTATTTTGTCTATCTTATCATTTTCTCACTCTCATTATAAGAATTATTTTTTGTCATGTTATATTTATTAGTTAATCTTATAAAATATTTTCAATTCAATCAATTAATTTATTGTTGTTTATGGATGTTGAGAACACGAAAGGATCTGAACTTGTGAGGCGTGCAATGCATTGTCTTAAAGAACTTATATGCAAACTCTCATGCAAGTCTCTCATAATACAATAGGATTTTCCTAATGAATTTGAACTCCTGAGCCATCGTGCTCAGTCCAAACTCCTAGAGGGATCAGTTGTGTCTATAATTAATCACGATAATTAAAACTAATTAATTTTGAAACATTTGATAATTAAAACTATAATGACTAAGTTATTATATCTCATTAAAATTGATATTAATTAGGTTAATATAAGTAATTAATTAAACAATTATTTTGAATTTAAATTTAAAATAATTTCACAAATTAGTTAATCTTTTGAAATATCTCAAAATATACAACACTTATAACTTTATAGATTTTTAACTCTTAACTTATGACTTATAAATTTTCAACTAGCTTATAAACTAGTTTTATTTTCAAACACACCCTTTATGTTTCGACATTAAAACTTATAATAGACTCAAAATAAAGAAAATATATATACAAATAAGATATCAAACAACGTGAAAAAGAAATTGAATAAAGAAACTCTCGAACACTTAAGGATTTTAGATATGTTGGTATCAATAGTAACTCCTTATCTATATATTCATAATATAAAAGTTGAGCTACTCTTTGTTTTGTTGACACGCCAATCTAAAATATATCTAAAATATCAACAAAAATACTTATATGTCATTCTGTACCTGTCTTGAGGGTACACCAAGTCTTCTCGTATTCTGAAGGCCGAACGAGTACTCCGATCCAACGCGAATGAGGGGTTGGTACCTGCAAAAAGGCACTCCAACGCTCAAGTCAGGACAAGCACCAATATCGAGAGTAATTAATGAACAGTGACGTTACCTTTTGACCTGAGCTATTTATACTGACATTTATGGGCCTTGGACCTTATGGGCCGTATACCATATTAGGTAATACACCTTAATTAAGTAATTATCCCTTAAGCATAGATTAACTATCGAGTGATGGACTTATTCAGGTGACCGATTGGCGATCGGCCACCTGACTCTGCCATTCGTTGGCCGATAGAGATATGGCCGAATGCCCCTACCTGTACACTGCCCCCCAGCCTTAATGGAAGGTGAGGCTTCCTTTGAGGGTAACAAAAGACAAGTGTTGGAGGAATGTGAACGGGTGCACTACTGTAACCGTTGGATCTGAAGGATCTAACGGTTACATATAATTTAAAACTTCAAATTTTCCCGCCTTTTTGAGCTTATAAATAGGTGGTGTGGTAGGGCCAGTCACACGCGTTGCTCTCCGCCGAATTGTGATAGCTAAAGATTTCCTAAGCCGATCCAACAAACGATTGTGTTATTCCGAGCAAATTGGTAAGTTTTTTGTAGCCATGGTTACTACTTCTTCATCCTCTTCGGCAAGCAGCTCTCGGTCGTCGTCATCCGGGGGGTCCTCGTCCAGTGATTCGAGTGATTCGAGTTCTAAAGCATCGTCGTCTCCTGTGAATGCCGAAAGGCCAAATCGGAGTGGTTCTGCTTCGGGAGAGGCATCTACCAGTGGGAGTGAAGAGATTGAGAAAAAACCAAAGCGAGTATCGAATCGCCAGCGATACGGTCCCTCCGAAATACCTGGATACGAATGGGTAAACGGGGAGGTTACTTCCTACTACTCCCGATACCGAGATACAGATATGATTACGAGACTATTGGACTACACCAACTGTTTGAACTTTGATGCTACTGAGAACCCATACCCGATTGGCGTTCGATCATGTCGGAACAATGCGTCCCCAAACCCCGACCTGGTTTGCCTTGATCAAAGCGGTGCTAGAATGGAGTCATTTTACATGTATGACTGCCTTCTTCGGGATCTTAAAGTGAAACTGCCGTTTGATGAGTTTACCATGGGAGTATTAAGGATATTGAATGTTGCACCGACGCAGTTGCATCCGAACAGTTGGGCACAGTTACAAGGTTTCAAACACTTGTGTAAGTGTGTCGGTATTAAGCTTTCTCCAATTCTTTTTCTGTATTTCTATTCGTCTCGGCCTACCATATTAGCGAAGTGGCACTCTCTGAGCCGAGTGAGTGATCGCTTATTATTGGATAGCTTCACTTCTTCATACAAAAATTTCAAGGCCGGATTTTTCCGAGTAACCATCAGGCCGAATGGGAGACGGTTTTTCTTTGATAAGGACGAAAAGCCTTTATTTCCATTGTACTGGACGCGTACCCCTCGGCCTTATGACGTCGTTCCGAAGAAAATGCTGACAACCGAAGAGCGAACAGATCTTAAGTTATTGCTTCGTCTACCCCGGCGTTTGCCAACTAGGTCTTTGATCAACGTGGTTGAATCCCCCCGTTGGTGGAATGACTTGATAGGTATATTATTTGTCCGAATTAACCTGTAAACTTAATTCCTATTGATATTTTACATAACCTTTTTGCAGGAATCATGGTTACCAGTGGTGCTAATGAGCTGGATAAACATATATGTATATTCAAGAAATTGAAAGAGTTGATATACATGTACGAAGTATTTTTTTCTCTCACTATACTCTTAAATTATTTCCTCTCACATATTTTGACAAATGAAATAATATTCTTATATGAGGAGGGATTCGTTTATTCCAGGAATAAGTCTACCACTCTACCTAGACTTATTTCGCTTAATAATTCATATTTTATATCAAATTTCAATGATCTAACTGTTGAATTTAAAGTTCTTAATACATAGATTAATTCTGCAAATTTTTAAAAAAATTGAAAATTATTTAGTACTTCATTTCATTATTTCAAATTGACGGATAATCATAAAAGTATTTTATACGTGAATTTGAATTAATGAAATGAAATATCAAATAGCTTTCAAAAATTTTAAAATTTTGTAAACTTGATCTATACATTAAAAATTTTAAATCTCTCCTTTTCTTATATTGTGAAATCAATTTTATTTTATTTTTTGTTTTATTTTGATTGCCATATGAGTCTTTTTTCTCACACTTTTCCACGATGCATGTTTCATGAAATTTTGGAACTGAGAGTAACTAAAGTGATTTTTTTTCTATTTTGTTTTCATTGATCTAAAAGAAAATCAAATGTGATTGAATGTGAATGAATTCTTAAAATTTCTATCAAACTTATTTTTTTTAATATATTTTTTATCAAAACACATTTTGTAAAGCCCGATTCTAACGCCCAATTCCTCACTAAATAAATGTAACAAGAAAATAACATAAATAAATAACATAGTAGTAAATAAAATTTTAAAGAGATAAAGTTCTCCTCCCCCTTACCTTGATATTTGAAGAACACAAGAAGGAAAATTTTGCTCGTTACTCTCTTCGTAATTTTCACTTTCACTCTCAGTTTCACTTTCACTCCTTCCTTTCTTACTTTCTTACTCTGATTTCGTTCACTCCTCCCTATTTATAGCTGAATGAGAATACGGATTTGGGATAACATTCTTATCCCCGTAATAATTTCGTATCCTTACAGCTCATCATGTATCCAGTATATACGTAATAGAGTGAGGTAATTCTGATCTGTGTGTATTTATTGCAGCCAGGTGTATTCAT